TATGTTTTAGAATAGACTATGGAATATTTGTATTAATATAAGTAAAGGAAACACAGACCCCATATTGGCCATTTACATATATTTAAATTAATATGGAAAGCAAGTGCATACTTTTACCAAAACTAATATTAGATTTCATTTTAAATCTGTGTGCGTGTATCATTTGCACAAAGAAATGATGGGGTTCTTCTCTAAAGAAGTAGTTACTCCACCCAGCTTAGAGCATCATTATGGGCGTTTTGCGTTATAACTAACGTGGTTCAAGCGATGGATCTGCGACAGAGAAACTATGGGTTTTGGGAAACACTCATCACTACATCATTCTCTTCCCAAACGATGCATCATATACTATCTTTCAGCCGTGAGTTATGTTGTTGTTTGGGAAGCGCACCCCTGAATAGTTCGAGTGTGTTTCTGCATTCGCTGCTGCTTTTATTCTCTCCGTCTCTATAGTTGGTGGTTTGATGTGTGTGTTTAACTGATCAAACTTCACACAGTGTGATTTGTTTCTCTGTTCTTCTGCTTTTGTGAGCGTCTGTACGGCTCCTGACGATGTAAGATTAATTTAAGGTATCAATTATTCTTATGCTAATCAGGACACAGTTTCCCAAGGTTAGCATCACAGATGGCAGCAGACCCTCACACGCGTCTCGTCTGCTCTCCTCACTGTCAGACGGAGAACTGAGCGACAGGATTTACATACGTTTGTCCACTTTAATCCTGCATATCACAGACAGACCACACTGCTGGAGTGTAGCAGCACCCTGCTGATGACAAACACACACACACACACACACACAGAGCGCGAGAGAGAGAGAGAGATACAGACACACATGCACACACACACACACACACACACACACACACACACACACACACACACACACACACTGAGCGCGAGAGAGAGAGAGAGATACAGACACACATGCACACACACACACACACACATATTTGTTTATTCATTCATTTTCTACTGCTTTTCCGGGGCTGGATCGCAGGGGCAGCAGAACCCCAGACTTCCCTCTCCACAGACACTCCAGCTCCTCCGGGGGGATCCCGAGGTGTTCCCAGGCCAGCCGAGAGACATAGTCCCTCCAGCGTGTCCTGGGTCTTCACCGAGGCCTCCTCCCGGTGGGACATGCCTGGAACACCTCCCTAGGTAGGCATGCAGGAGGAATCCGAAACAGAAACCTGAGCCACCTTAGCTGACTTCTCTCAATGTGGAGGAGCAGCAGCTCTACTCCGAGCTCCTCCCGGGTGTCAGAGCTCCTCACTCTATCCATAAGAGTGCGCCCTGCCACCCTTTGAAGGAAACTCCTTTCGGCCGCTGGTATCCGAGATCTTGTCCTTTTGGTCATCACCCAAAGCTCATGACCATAGGTGAGAGTAGGAACGTAGATTGATCGGTAAATTGAGAGCTTTGCCTTTCAGCTCAGCTCCTTCTTTACTACATCGGACCAGTATATCGACTGCATTACTGCTGCCGCTGGAGCGATCTGCCTTTCAATCTCACGATCCATCCTTTCCTCACTCGTGAACAAAACCCCAAGATACTTGAACTCCTCCACCTGGGGTAAGGACCTTCCTCCAACCTGGAGATGGCAAACCACCTTTTTCCGGTGGAGCACCATGGCCTCGGACTTGGAGGTGCTGATTCTCATCCCAGCTGCGTCACACTTGGCAGTGTAACGGAGGCCAGCTAGTGAAGTTCTGTGCAGGTAAACCTCACTCCTCTGACCTCTAAAGGTGCTCTAGCGACAGATGCCAGAGGCCATGGTCTTTGGCCTACTTGGTAGAGCACCCGACTCCCATGCGGAAGGTTGCCGGTTCGATACCAGCTTGGAGCAGGTTGCGTGGCGTAGGACCAGCGGGGTTACATGAGCAAACAGCCCCAGTGCATAATGCTCCGAACCGGACCCCCTCCAGCCCAAGGCTGCATCTTGAAATTCTGTCCATATAAATTATGAACAGAATTGGTGACAGGGGGCAGACCTGCCGGAGTCCAACATGCACTGGAAACAAGTCTGACTTATTGCCGGCAATGCGAACCAGACTCCTACTCTGTTCATACAGGGATGAGACAGCCCTTAACAGAGCGGCTCCGACCCCATACTCCCAGAGCACGCACCACAGAATGTCATGAGGGACACGGTCGTATGCCTTCTCCAAGTCCACAAAACACACGTGGACTGGTTGGGCGTACTCCCATGAACCCTCGAGTACCCTAGTGAGGGTATAGATCTGGTCCAGTATACCACGGCCTGGACGAAAACTGCATTGTTCCTCCTGGATCCTAGGTTTAAGTCCTCCATGAACTGCCACTTTATCATGGATGGGTTTGAGTGCCTGACTGATCTTAAGAGCTATGTTGTTGGGGGCTAAAGCCCCTGGTAGGGTATCCTAAGGCAAAAAGGTCTCAGGTTACAGGTCAGACTAAGTGTGGTTTAAATACTCCTTATGAGTACAAAAACATCAAGGACCGTGACGTCACCCGGTATGGCGCAGCCGGGACCCAACCCTGGAGCCAGCTCTGGGGTTGGGGCTTGTACGCGAGCCCCTGATGACTGAGTTTTTTCCACGGAACCCGGGCAGGGTTAGCCCGAAGGAACAACGTGGGACCATCCTCCCACAGGCCCACCACCTGCAGGGGAGTCGTGAGGGGCCGGTGCATTGTGGAACAGGTGGTGGTCGAAGGTTAGGACCATGACAACCCGATCGTAAAAAAAGAGAGATAGAGAAAGAGAGAGAGAGAGATTGCAGACACACACAGACACGAACAGACATATACACACAGCCATATCACCCTGCAGCCCAAGACCGGTTACTCACTGAAGCTACGGTTACTCAGACAACATGAGAAAACTAGGTTGCAGTTGGAGGTGGTGTTAGTGAGGCCGGCAGGACACTCATCCTGCGGTCTGTGCAAGTCCTAATGCCCCAGTATAGTGAAGGGGACACTACACTGTCAGTGGGCGCCGTCTTTCAGATGAGACGTTAAACCGAGGTCCTGACTCTCTGTGGTCATTAAAAATCCCATGGCACTTCTGGTAAAGAGTAGTGGTGTAACCCTGGTGTCCTGGCCAAATATCCTCCATCGAAATGAAGAGACCCCCCCCCCCCTCATGATTGTGAGGTGCTTTGGCAAATGGAGGTGTGAAATCATGATGCTTTATGGCTCGTTTCCACTGACTGGTACAGTACGGTACGGTTCGGGTCGGTACGGGTCACCTTTATCAGGCTTGCGTTTCCACTACCAAGGGTACCCTTTTGGTGGGCGTGGTGTTAAGGCCTGACAAAGTTTCAGTCGCATCATTCTCACTCGAGGAAATGTCTACAGTAAAGCTGCACAGGTCATTCACATATCATATTAAAAGCACTTCTCACAAAACAGATGCTTTACACACATAAACACTTGTGTATAAATGTTTATTACTAACTTTTCTATAAACAGGAGTTGTTTATAACTGCAGATCAATGACTGTGCGAAATAGCCTACTGTAACCTCTGTAATTATATTAAATAAATAAATAAATGAACATATATGAACACATACAGACACTTACAGTCTCCGATATGATACCAACTACAGAAGAACTACACAAAGCAGACATTTCGTTGTTAATTAGGTTCAAAACAACACAAAGTATAGCCTACAGTCACTGCAAACCTCTCATCTGTGTCTGTAATCTTCAGCAGCACATGTCATGTAGCCTCTATTAGAGAGTCACTCCATCATTCCCAATTTATATTATACCAAAAGGTGATAATAAAGATTAAAACAAGGCAGTTTGTTCACGTTTGCTGAAGAAATAGCGTGCTCCTTGGCTTCGCCTTTTTTTTCGCGCCCCACTCTCGCGTTTGTCCTTTTCTTTCTGAATTTGTCACTCGTTTGTCAGCTTCTCACAGGATCGGGTTTCCAAAAGCTTGTAAATAATCAAGTGCATGTTATATCATCAGCTCAAGAAGTTTGTTATTTTAGATAGAGACGTGCGGGGAGCGCAAGGAAGAAAGCGAAACCACTCGGGCTTAAGACTGGCTCGTAAAAAAACTACGCGGCACAGGGTAAATCCGCTCATCTCCATGGCTTTGTGGCTGTTTATCATGACGACGACAAGGTTTGTTTGCAGGATCGACCATGGCTGCATATGTATATATAATTCCGCTGTAATCTCTCGCTGTGTATTTCAAACATGGCGGGTCCTTTGTTTACATTTTGGCTTGTTGCGTCTACGAATGACGTATCTCTATAAACCAATAGCGTTCAGCTGCGCGTGTAGCTCCACCTTTTGGGACTCTTTCTGCAGTTTGAGACCCTTTCGAAAGGGTCCCGAAAAAGTGGTACGGTACAGTTTGGTTCGGTAGGCCTTTTGACAGTGGAAACGGCCATAAAAGCGTACCAAACCGAACCATACCGTACCACTCAGTGGAAACGGGCCATTATTAAGACCTGCTCCTTCTGAGCTCACACACACACACACACACACACACACACACACACACACACATACACATTCATAACCTCTAAAATAGCAGATGTGCCTGTAAAAGCTTCACAATTTTAGATCCTTCAGTCCACAGACATTGACGCGCCTCATGTAACACACAAAAACACACACACCGTCAGACATAACTGAATGTATTTATATCCTGACCGTAATGAAAAGCAGAATTAAAAGTGAGCTCGTTTGCCCTCATCATGATCAATGATGCTTTAATTTCCTTCAGAAATGAATATTTCCGCATCTCATTTTCACGTAGCGAGTGAACAAAGTGTCGCCAAAGGCCAAACGGACACATTTCTCACTGCAGAAACAGACAAGCGTCAAAGAAAATGAGTTTCTCTTTCAGCTTCCCCTTCATTTGACTGTAATCGGCGCATGTTCATTCATTATACACAGCTCATGTCAAACCAAGCACCACATTATGGACGAAAAATCATTTGACCTGCATGTAAAAATGGCATGTTGTATTTATTATGTGTTTTTATTCTTGTGTTTTAGGTCTGCAGAAGAATGGAAGAGAGAGGGGAATCATGGGAAGGATTTCAGAGCGGTAAAATATGTAATATATTGTACATAAGTGAAATAAATATGTGTTATATATGTGTAATATTTACAGTATGCATGTAATCATGTCCAAAAAGTTTTAATAAAATTTCCTTTTGATCCAGATATGTGCCTTTTTCTGGTTTGTTTGTCCATTTATTGTCCTGGCAGCCCAGATATGTCAGTTTATAATTAATTTAGTGTATATTAAAGTTAATTTAGTGGGCGACACGGTCGCCTCAAAGCAAGAAGGTCGCTGGTTCAAGTCGCGGCCTGGCCAGTTGGCATTTCTGTGTAGAGTTAGCATGTTCTCCTCGTGTTGGCGTGGGTTTCCTCCGGGTGCTCCGGTTTCCCCCACAGTCCAAACACATGCGCTATAAGGGAATTGATTAATATTGGTCGTAGTGTGTAAGTGAACGAGTGTGTATTGGTGTTTCACAGTACTGGGTTGCGGCTGGAAGGGCATATCCTGTGTTAAACATTTGCTGGAATAGTTGATGGTTTATTCCGCTTTGGCGATCCCTGATGAATAAAGGGACTACGCCGAAAGAAAGTGAATGAATGAATGAATGAACATTTCAGCACTAAATTTAAGCTATTTGGCTTTATTGTGGGTAATATTAAAAGCAGTTCTATAGGTAAGGTTGTTTTGGGGAAGGGGGGTTCTGTAGAGAGAGCATTTGATTGGACGGAATTGAGCCAAATAATATCTGTTTATAAACAGATCAGTTTTAAATGCATGTATGTTTCACTCTTTAGGCAAATCGTGCAGCAAATAAAGTCATATTATTACACTTTTATTTTCAATTATTTTAAAGCACTACTTAAAAATATGAGTAAATGTGTTGCTTTTAAAGCGATTAATTGATTTTACTTAAAATAAGTGAGTACACCTGTTGCATTTAAAGTCAACTAATCGCTTTAAAAGCAACAGGTGTACTCACCTATTTTAAGAAGAGTCAACTAATCGCTTTAAAATCAACAGGTTTACTCACTTATTTTAAGAAGTCAACTAATCGCTTTAAAAGCAACAGGTGTACTCACCTATTTTAAGAAGAGTCAACTAATCGCTTTAAAATCAACAGGTTTAATCACTTATTTTAAGAAGAGTCAACTAATCGCTTTAAAAGCAACAAGTTTATTCACTTATTTTAAGTCAACTAATCGCTTTAAAAGCAACAAGTTTATTCACTTATTTTAAGTAAAGTCAACTAATCGCTTTAAAAGCAACAGATTTACTCACTTATTTTAAGAAGTCAACTAATCGCTTTAAAAGCAACAGGTGTACTCACCTATTTTAAGAAGAGTCAACTAATCGCTTTAAAATCAACAGGTTTAATCACTTATTTTAAGAAGAGTCAACTAATCGCTTTAAAAGCAACAAGTTTATTCACTTATTTTAAGTCAACTAATCGCTTTAAAAGCAACAAGTTTATTCACTTATTTTAAGTAAAGTCAACTAATCGCTTTAAAAGCAACAGGTTTACTCACTTATTTTAAGAAGTCAACTAATCGCTTTAAAAGCAACAGGTGTACTTACTTATTTTGTCAAGTAATCACTTTAAAAGCAACAGGTTTACTCACTTATTTTAAGTTAAGTCAACTAATCGCTTTAAAATCAACAATTTTACTCACTTATTTTAAGTAAAGTCAACTAATCGCTTCAAAAGCAACAGGTTTACTCACTTATTTTAAGTCAACTAATCGCTTCAAAAGCAACAGATGTACTTACTTATTTTGTCAAGTAATCACTTTAAAAGCAACAGGTTTACTCACTTATTTTAAGTAAAGCGATTAGTTGACTTTACTTAAAATAAGTAGGTAAACATGTTGTTCTTAAAGCGATTGGTTAACTAAAAAAAGGTGCGTAAATCTGTTGCTTTTAAAGTCGTCAACTAATCGCTTTAAAAGCAACAGGTTTATGCACTTAGTGTAAACTTTTTTGATCACCAGCCACAGTGGCTACCAGTTTTCCAACGTTACAATCCACTCTGCATTTTCACTAGCCACAATTTTGTTGCTGGAAAAAATATTTTTATATGCATAAATATTTGCACCCATATTGGGTCATTCTTATAGTCGAACCCTGCTTTTAAGAAAACCACAATTTAAAAATTATTTTCAACCAGCCAAGTGGCTAGTGGGAGTAACTGTCTAACCAGTGGCGGGTGTTAATGTAAAGCCCTGTATATATATATATATATATACACACACACACACACACACACACACACACACACATATATATATATATATATATATATATATATATAAATAAATAAATAAATAAATAAATAAATAAATATATATATATATATATATATATATATCAGATGGGTATTTACTTAATCACAGAATCATTTTTATTTCCAGGTTCACATTCTTATCTAAGGCTTTAGTCTGAGAGCAGGTCTCCACATTGACATCCATCTCCTCATTTCACCATGGTAAAGCACAGTAATACTGTGTTCGGACTGCAGCTGTGTGAATGAGTCGAGAAACTATATTAAATTACGCTGATTAACAATTTCTCCACGAAGCACAGAGGCAGGAGGGCTGCTATTGACGGAGCCACAGGGTCGAAAGGTCCCTCAAGTTCACAGGCTCTGTGTCTTTGTTATGCTAACACACAATCTGAAATCAGCGCACAAGTGGAGTGTGACAGAAATGATTCCTTGAGAACATACAGAGAGTTTATATTCAACACCCCTTTCTGTGCCCCTAGGGTCTGTCTGAGGGGTACATTAAGTGGAAATGTTTGGTGAAAAAGCCAAACAATCAAGTGTTTTTAAAATAATAATGCATTTAAAAAATAATAAAACATGAATAGCAAATGAATTAAATCAATAAAATAAGAATACATACACTTTATTTACATAACTAAACACATGGTGTAATTGAAACGAAGCAATAAAAATCTATTTAAGTAATATAAAATTCTGATATATATGGGTGACACGGTGGCACAATGGGTAGCACAATCGCCTCACAGCAAGAAGGTTGCTGGTTCGAGTCCTGTATGTGTCAGTTGGCATTTCTGTGTGGAGTTTGCATGTTCTCCCTGTGTTGTCGTGGACTTCCCCCAGAGTCCAAACACATGCGGTACAGGTGAATTGGGTAAATTAAAAAACTTGTAGTGTATGTGTGTGAATGAGTGTGTATGTTTCCCAGTGATAGGTTGCAGCATGGAAGCGCATCCGCTGTGTAAAACATTTGCTGGATAAGTTGGCGGTTCATTCCACTGTGGTGACCCCAGATTAACAAAGGGACAAAGCTGAGGGAAAATGAAGGAATGAATAAAGAATATTTAAATAATTCGAGCCACGGCTTGAACCAGCGACCTTCTTTCAGTGAGGTGACAGAGCTGCACCACCCAAATATATAAATTATTAATATAATTTAAACTAAACTAAATTATTACAAATGTTTTTGAAATATATTGGCCGGTATAAGATAGAGCCCATTTTGATTCTCTGTATGTCCTGTACATGTGGTTGAATTGACAATAAAGCTGACCTTGATTATGTATAGAGAAAATTAGTTTAACTTAATGCTAAAATAAATAAACAAATATTTAACTAGTTGTAAATGTTGTATTTTTATACAAGGAACAGTATGCCTTTCCTGTTTTTGTTTGCTAATTAAAGCAAAAATTACGACTGGCTCTCAGTTTTGGCATCATTTCAATCACTGTCAGCTAAGTGCTAATAAAGTTTTTTTTCAAAAGTTCAAACGAGCGGATTTTGTGTAAACACAGGAGCGTCAGCTTAGCAGAAGATTGGGATTGGGAACAAGGTAAGAATATTATTAAACATGCCCTAATCGATCTGCAGTTTTGTTAAATAGTGGGAAAATCATGGATATGTTGTTAAATAGTGTGCTTTTAGCATGCACAAATAGCGCTAGCCATGTCATTAGCATTAGCAAGACAGATGTGTTCATTGTGCTGCGATTATGGTGTTTTTTTTCATATGTTTTTCCATGTAATAATGTTTGTACTGCAGTTTTATATTTTGAAAAATCTGTGATTTTTGTCCCACAAGTTAAGAAAATAAATAAATAAATAAAATAATAAATAAATACATAAATAAATAAAGGGTTTATTATCAATATTAATGTTTAAAATTTATTAAAACACGACTTCTATCTTAGAGATTTAATGAATTTATGAATATTTATATTTTTCTTGAAATTTTATGAGTTTTCCTCAAAACAACTTTTTTCTCGACATTTAACATTTAGTTATCGACATTTAGTTTTTTCTCAGCATTTACATAATTTTTTTGAGATATTATGAGCTTTTTCTAAAAACACAATGACTGTTCTCAAAATTTAATGCGTTTTTGAAAATTCTATTTAAAAATAAATCTTAAAATTTACATTGAAATTAAAAATTGATTAGTTTATTACGTTTACGACTTTAAAAAAACCACTATTGTCAAAATTTAATGAGATTATTCTCAGCATTATATATATATATATATATATATATATATATATATATATATATATATATATATATATATATATATATATAATTTAACATTTGATCTTGTATTATAAAGACTTTAATCATGAAATGGTTTTATTTAGTGTTTTTAACTGCTAATTATTTAATAACTGATGTCGTTTCTCTTTGCCATGATGACAGCACACAATATCTGACTTGATATTCTTCAAGACACTAGTATTCAGCTTAAAGTGACATTTAAAGACTTAACAAGGTTAATTAGGCAAATATTCACACTACCAGTCAAAGTTTGGGGTCAGTGGGATTTATAAATGATTTAAAATAAGCGTCTCCTGCTCACCAAGGCTGCATTTATTTCATCAAAAATACAGTGCACATTGTCAAATTGTGAAATGTTATTGCACTATAAAAAACTGTTCAAATATAGTTTATAATTTAATTTAATCATTTATTCCTGAGATTTTTAATGATGAGTTTTTAGCTTCATTACTCCAGTCTTTAGAGTCACATGATCCTTCAGATTTCACTCTAATTGTAGCTGCATTTTTGCTCTAAGCCGCTCTCTTGGTAAGGGTAAACAATGACGCATGAGTCCTTTTTTCATCATTTATTTTTGTCACATCTTGTGCCGTCAAATAGCTCCATTCCTCATCAG